CATCTGTCTTATATGAAATCACAGACCTGAAGAGGACACAAACCAGCATCAAAAGCAATAAAAAAAAATGTGGTTCTATTTTTAGTATAAAACAATGTGCATTATGTGTCAAACCTAAATCTGTTGTATACGATGGATCCCTGGTCGAACTCGTAGCCAGAGTCCAGCAGCTCTGTGGCAATGACGGAAGCATCGGTGAAAGTGGGAGGCTTGCGGCCCACCTCCTTACAGTTGATCAGGATGTGTTTGCCATGGGTCCTAATGGGTTTACAGAAGCAGAGGAAGAGATTCAAGCAAAGAACATTGCAAAAAGTGGTATTTGCATCTACAAACTTAAGAAATGACTGAATGAGAATTACAGAGACAAGACAAGACTGAGAAAGGGAGAAAAAGAACTACCTGTACAGCAGACCTCTGAGTTTGTCCCCCACATTGACAATCATGACCTCTTTGCCGGCACCAGAGAGCTTGGCGATCTCACTCTTTATGGCTTTGGACACGCTGCTGTGGATGGCACCGCAGAGACCACGGTCAGATGACACACCAATGATCAAGTGCTTGTTCTTGTCTTCTGGAGCCTTGATCTCAGCCTTCTCGTAGAGTGCTAAACAACAAAGACATGAAAAAAATAACATTACCATATTATCACAAGATGTTTTAAATGGATGTCAGAATATTGGTGCAATATAGAGTGCATTTTTTTGGGATAATATCCTGCATACCCATAGCACCGGTGCCATAGACCCGGGCGGGCTTCAGGGATCTCTCAGCTCTGGAATACTTTGCTGCTGCCACCATCTTCATGGATTTGGTGATCTTCTGGATGTTCTTGATGGACTTCAACCGAATGGTGACTGGCGAGAGAAAAAAAAAGAAAAAAACAATGGTCAGAAACGTCATACAATTGTCTGTTAGGTATAATAACATTACCGCAAAACAAATATTAGCAAGATATAAATAATATTAACTATAACAAAAACTGCATTTGTAAAGATATTAATGTCAGCTGACCTTTTATAAAGCAAAATGAGACTTTACTTACTGTCCTTCAAGGTAGCCATGTTCCTGACCTGCCCACTGCAAGAGACGTTTTATAGAAGTTAAGCTCATCCACAAATAAATACAATATAATAACTCTCAGGTCAATGAAGCATTAATAAATATGACAGCAACTGAAGTTACACTGAAAGTAATGCATAGTACCCTGGAAACCCACACTGCTATTTACAGCATTGCACGACAAAACAGAACGGTTTCCATACAAACAGTTCAGAACTCAAGAAGATAACTTGATTAAATATGTGGAGTCAGCAGCGTATTGCTATTAAATAACCATAATAAACATGGAAATGTCAAGTCGCGCGCTGTCATTCGCTTAAGCACACTGCGGCCTAAAGTTCACCGCGTCCTTGTTCCACCGCATCCGCATTTCATTGACCAACTGACACAATTTAGTCTCATTACTTATAAACACACATTAAACGCATATTTCCAGAAAATTATGTATTCAACAAATCAATAAATTCCTACCATTGTGGGAGGAACGCCGCCGCGCTGGTCCTGGCGAACATGTTCACTTCAACGAAGGTCAGAGCAGCCGGTCTGCGCAGGCGCAAATAAAGCGCAGAAAGACGTTCTCGTCGCAATCTCGCGATAGTAGAGGTACACACGGATCAGTGACGAAACACGCATGTTAGCAAAGCGAGGGATTCGCGTCACAACGCAAGAAAGAGTGGGAAGTGTTGAGACACTGGAACTGTTATTATTTTTCATTAAATCTTGATTTTTTTTGGACTGATTAAAATGGGGAAAGCTGATTTTCTAAGTCCTAAAGCGATTGGAAACAGAATTAAAGCCAAAGGCCTTCAGAAACTGCGCTGGTATTGTCAGATGTGTCAGAAACAGTGTAGAGACGAAGTAAGTTTATGTGAACGTGTGTGTCTTATTCTTCATTAACGCGTAATTGGCATGTGTAGATTAAGTAATTAGATTATTTTATCATCTAATTTTAGGTATGAATAAATGTACTACTTAGTCTGTTTTAATTTTCCTATATTTTGTATATGTTTTCCTATATATTTGTTTTTAGCATTTTTTGACATCATTGTCTCTATATCTAAACAGCATTATTGGATATCTTAGGCCATGTTACAAAAGTTTTGCTGCCTTTCTAGATTTCTTGTTGGTTATAATATGTAATATGTGTCTTGCAACATGCTAAATGATTAAATGAAAACTTAATAAGCTACCAACGCCATAGACCGTCTTAAAAACAAGTGACCTCCCTATGTAGTCAGCATGTTTGTGCGTTATAGGCAATGACTGTGTTGGGTATCATTGTCTTAAAACCTAGTTAGACAGCATTTTGGGTCAACATATGGACACTGAGCCTATCTGAGTTTGAGCAATATAGGTTGTGTTTCAAAACCAGACTTTGCCAATATTGTCAGCTAACATGATCTCTCTGGATTGCAGAATGGGTTTAAATGTCACTGCATGTCTGAGTCTCATCAGAGACAGCTGCTGTTAGCTTCAGAGAACCCCAACCAGTTCCTGAACTACTTCTCTGAGTAAGTCAACACACACACTGTCCATCCACATCTGTCCATTGATCCAGCTGTCTTTGAGATCAAATGTGATTTTAAATTCTGATTTTATAGGGAGTTCAAAAGTGACTTCGTAGAGCTGCTCCGAAGACGTTTTGGTAAGTCACTGCTGTTTTTATTCATTACTCAGTATTGGATCCAGTATCAGTATTATTGTAGGCTAAGACAGTCTGTGTTCGTTTTTTGCAGGGACTAAGCGAGTTCACAATAACATTGTGTATAATGAGTACATCAGTCATCGGGAACACGTTCACATGAACTCTACGCAGTGGGAGACTCTCACCGACTTCACCAAATGGCTTGGGAGAGAAGGCAAGCATCCTATACATTTTATTGAACTAAAACCCCAGATATGCACAACATACAATACCATTCAAAATTTTGAGGTCAGTAGATTTCTTTTTTTTCTATTTACTTTTAATTAGCAAGAATGCATTAAATTGATCAAAAGTGACAGTGAATACGTTTTACATTGTTACAAAAAAATATATATTTTAAATAAATTCTGTCCTTTTTTACGTTTATATTCATCAAAGAATTCTGAAAAAGCATTGTGGTTTCCACAAAAAAAAAAATTAAATAGCACAACTATTTTCAATATTCATAATAAAAAGAAATATTTCAAATCAGCATATTAGAATTGTTTCTGAAGGATCATGTGACACTGAAGACTGGAGTAATGATGCTGAAAATTCACCACAGGAATAAAGTGCATTTTTCAAATGATAGTAATATTTCACCAAATGACTGTATTTTTGATCAGATAAATAGATTCTTGATGACTTCTGCACAGTAGAGTGTAGGTGTTTCATTTAGATTGTGTGTACAGGTTATTGCAAAGTAGATGAGACACCTAAAGGCTGGTACGTCCAGTACATTGATCGTGATCCGGAGACGATCCGCAGACAGGAAGAGCTAGAGAGGAAGAAGAAACAGGATATGGATGATGAAGAACGCAGCGCCAAATTCATCGAAGAACAAGTTCGCCGCGGCCAAGAGGGCAAGGAGCCAGAGGTGTGTTTGTGTGCTGAAAAAGAAAAAATGTTTTGTTTTCTTTTGATTTCATCTTGCTCAAATTTTCATTGTCCAAACAGGAAGAACCAGTGTTCACAGAACTGAAGCGAATGAATGAAGATGAGAAAGTAGCTTTTAATTTGGACATTGCTTTAGCAGGACCTTCTAAAACAAGGTATAACCAGTCTAAAAGTCTCATAAAGCAATATGACTGTAGTTTGGGTGACAATAACGATCTGTTTTTATTTCTATAGCACCACTTTGGGTCCTAGTGCCCTTAAAGCTGCAGCCTCTGCAAAAAGGAAAGAGTCTTCCCACAGCAGAGACTCGAAGGACAAGAAAAAGAAATCGGCTCTGGATGAGATAATAGAGGCACGTTCTTCATTAACGTTTTCTTTTGTTGTAACGTTGGTGTTATATATTCACGATGAAATCCACGCAGATCATGCAGTTTTGTTGCACATTTATCAGCTAGGATTCAACCAGAACTTTCCCTTTGTGTGTCTTCCAGATGGAGGAACAGAAGAAGAAATCTGTAAGATCGGATAACTGGATACAAGCAAACATTGTAGTGAAAGTGATAACTAAGAAACTGGGAGAGAAGTATTACAAGAAGAAAGCAGTCATTCGGGTAACTGCAGCGCTGTCATTACAGGACACACAGAGTGATTAGACTTTTCCTACAGTGATACTGTGTGCATGCGTGTGATATTACAGGAAGTGCAGGATAAATACACGGCTGTGGTGAAGATGATCGACTCTGGAGACAAACTCAAACTGGACCAGAGTCATTTGGAGACAGTCATTCCAGCTCCTGGTATTACCCGTTACTGTTTTCAGTGTAACTCAAAATGAAGAAAGATAGAAATTCTCAATCTAATCTCTCATTCTGTCTTAGGTAAGCGCGTTTTGATTGTGAACGGTCAATATAAAAACACAGAGGCTATCCTGGAAGGCATAAATGAGCACAAATTCTCTGCTACACTCACGTTAGACTCGGTAAGTTCACTCGGAAAATTGTCACTGCACACTATTAAAATGCTGGCTCTAATTGGCTCTAATCGCTCAGAAGTGAGTAGATACATTTATAAACAAAAATTGGATTTTTGCTGTTCTTTTTAAAGTTTCTATTCAAAGAATCCTGAACACAATGTTTTGTGTTGTCCACTAAAATATTAAGCAGCACAACTGTTCTCCAGGATTGAGAACCACTCATCTAAAGCATGTTTTTTTTTGTCTTGGTTTAGGGTCGGATGAAAGGAAAGACAGTGGAGGGGATTGCATATGAGGATTTCTCCAAATTGGCCTGATGTTCTTTCTTCTTCTCCACGGCGCCTCCGCTGTGTCAGAGTGCATAATAAAGACTCTTAAATGACCTGATTTACATATTGGAACAAAATGACCAATGGTTTTTATTGTGTTTTTTTTCCCCATTGTTATCTCTGTTGTCATTGAAAACGGTTGCATATGATTAAAATATTTAATTAATCAAATTTTCGATTAAATGTCTCACTGCAGATGCTCAAGTCAGAAGTCTTACAATACATTAATTCGTTTTTGATTGGCTTTAATTATTAAGTAATTTCAGTTCAGTTGGTTGATGTGCATCACTGTTTTCCTATGTTTTGTATATATTTTCTTGTAGAATAAAAAAACTTTTTTTAAATGGCAAAATGGCATGTTTTGGTTTTCTTTGCTTCTTATTGCTTGTATAAAATAACAGATTTCTACCAATCTCTTAGCAAGTGTCCTAAGCTTGCTGCCACACTCATGCTCTCAGATAGCGGTCAGGAAGCTGTCCAGCTGAGGCAGGATATAGCTGGTGTAACTGCCATCAATGAAGCCTTTCCCACTGTTATGGATGAACCAGCAGTAGACATCTGAACCTCGTTTCTTGTCACGTCTGTAATCCTTCTGCCAGCCCCTGATTGATATACAGATATTGCACAATTTTAATATGATAGAACAGAAGTTGGATTGGGTGGATCTTAAGTTCAGTCAAAGAAAATATATATATATTTTTTTTTTTTTACATTATTTTCATGAAAATTATACATTCCTCCCCAAATTCTTATTGCTGTAATGTGAAAAAAATGATAAACTATTTGAATTGTGAAGTATTTATACATCATGGTAGGTTTTTTGTTTTATGTCTTTCAGTTATGCAGATTTTAATATATATTACAATATTTTTTCTGGACAGGATGATATTTATGATTGTCAGAGAAATTCTAACAGACAACCAACTAGTGAGGACATTTAACGTCCTTATTAATTAAAGGTCGTATAAATTAGTCAAATCATGTTTCTATTTACATCTAGTGTGTTGCACAGTTTCTGTGATTGTTATATTTATGGGTAGGGGAAAATATAAGTAACCTGACATAAAAAAAACAATGAGAAATGAGATTTGTATGTGATAGTACCTGGTGACAGCTAGTTTGTTGCCTTTCACTTCCATTGTGGCCTCTTTCTTCTTTGGATCTGCTCCCTCATGCACGCCGTACACCTTCACTTTTGGTTCCTGTGCAAACTGACCTGTTATGAGACGGTCAAAATCAATTTTTGAGAACAAGACCCACACACTTGTTAGTGTGATGAATAATGTGTTTAAGCGGTTTCGTACATTTAAATATTAAGTAACTTACCAATGAGACCATGAACCTGTGTGGAGTATTTGTTGTCGCTAGACATGTAAATGCCCAGGAAGTCCACCTGCACAGGATGTTTCTTCCACACCCGATGCAAAAGCACCATCACTGAAATCTTCCCATCAATCGTCACAGTAACATGTTGCTCTTTCACTATGGTGACCCTCATCCTGATAAGCAAGAGTTTTGCATAATGCAGAGAACTGCATTTAGAGGGATAGTTCTGTCATTACTCACTTTCATGTCATTCCAAACCCGAGATACCTTCGTTCATCTTCAGAACACAAATTAAAGGGGTCATATGATGCAATTTCAATTTTTCCTTTCTCTTTGGAGTGTTACAAGCTCTTGGTGCATAAAGAAGATCTGTAAAGTTGCAAAGACTAAAGTCTCAAATCCAAAGAGATATTCTTTATAAAAGTTAAGAGTCAACCACTCCTACCTAAAACGGCTCGTTCTAACACGCCCCCACATGTCTATGTCACGATGTGGGAAGATTTGCATAACGCCGCCCAAATGTTCACGCAAAGAAAGGCGGCGTAACTTTTATTCTTGCTGTAGTATTGTTGTTGCCGCCGCCGCCGCCATGTAGTGAAGGCGCTGTGTGTTTCGTTGTGAAAGCGAAACTACTTTATTTGGTCTTCCAAAAGAGGACACGACTAGAAATCACTGGTTAAGTTGTATTTAAAACACTGTTCCAGAGCAGTTCAACCAAAATATTCATGTCTGCATTTGTGATCGGAGAAATGACAAACAACAAGCGCTACTCTACACTGCTCAAAACTCGCGTTTGAATCATCAGTGGCAAATCCTTTAATTTATGAAAACGTACTTACAGACGCCGTGTCAGAACAGCCGGCATTGTAGTCTACTCCTACCAGGATCAGGAAACAGTCCTCAATAAAATGCGCTGGACACATCTGAATATTTGGGTT